TTGGGAAAGCTAACTAAATGACTCTCTTCCCATATGCTATGACCTATGCAAGCACTCGTAGACATCAGCTGTCTTCCGGCTAAGCTCTATCTTTCCTGATTGCGAACTTAGGGGGTCTACGACGCTCCCCCCGAGAGCTGTGTCGGTGGCGGGACCCATAGGCGCTACCCATGGTCCCTTACCCCCGGCACACCACTCATCGTGATAAGTGTCATGCTATTAGAGTCTTCAAACAACCCGTAAAGAGCCTACGGCAAAGGGGCACGTGTAGGCCTGATTGGCGTAAAACCTTCCCAGATGTCTCCGGCACTACCCGGGACTACTCTGGGGACCCTTCCAGATAGCTCACGCTAACTCCGTCAGTTTTGGTCCGTTTTACTCCGTTCCTGTTGGAGAAGGTACCTGACCTTCTCACCTTGGCCCCCTTATATATCCTGCGAACAGCTTCCGGTCGGACGGACGGCGACGACGCATACAGTGTTATGGACATGTCTTCATAGACTCCATTTAACTAGCATAACGGCAACTCCACCCATTTTGGCCCATGACGTCCGGGGCGAACCCTGGGGCCGCAGGTACCTGTTAGGAATAATTCTACCAAGTTACAGCTTGTTCGGAGCACTATAGCTCCTCCCGTAGTCTTCCGATCAAAGTGCAATAGAGTGCCCGTCGATCGTCATTGCGTAACAAACAATCCTAACATTTCCTGAAATTCTTCCGAGAACATTTCCGACGGAAGGTAGGGTAATAGTGTCCCAAAGGTAGGGTAAGTATGTCCATGGTGACACGAAACCGGTCTCCATGGTAGGGTAACGTGACCTCCTTAGGCAGGGTAAACTCACCCGGCCTTCCAACCTATCCATAGGCTAGAACGGACATTGTCACGTTATAACTACTACTTAGGTACACCTATTCCTTAAGTACCTTCTGTTCTTAGAGATTTCCGGACCATCAGACATCTCTTGGATATGCGCCTGCATACCCGCCTCGTCTACCATCTGACCTCTTGGTCTTATGTATGGGCGTAGACGTAGGTTACCATAGCTCTATATCGTAGGGTCGTTACACCGTGCATGATGATGCATAAAATGTAAGAAATAAACCTGAACACCAGATAAGAAAAGCACGCCATGATCCCCTAATCGTATCATGAAATATCAATGAAATATACGTAATACATACTCCGCTGTAGTAATGTTCGTGAACTAGAAATAATACTAAGTAGAGGAATATACGATATTATCAAGGAGAATATACATATGAAACGAATTAGAAAATTCAACACCTGATACTTAGTGTTCTAGGTCAACTCAATGCAAGCTTTCCAATGGTGTATTAAATGTCTACCTAACACTAATATTAGTAGAATTATTACCTGTCAGGCAATTAGTTTAAATCAGATTTATAGCAGGTAGTCTGGAGGGGTTCCTTTCTGTACTACGTATTATAGAACCAATACAACTAGAAATATTCTTTATTTAGAAGGTTTCAGAATCTGCATGATACATGACCCAGGTTACAAGGTTCAATCCTAGCATTGCATCCTGTAAATAGTCGTTCTTCCTTAGGTTCTAAGAATGACTACAGTATTGAGTTGTATCCTGCTTGCATTTAAAGTTCTGATACCAAGGACCCTTGCATTCTAAGTTTCCATACCTGCTGTCTGACATCCTGGTCAATAGTTTGTGTCTTGTGCATCCCATGCATTTTACACACATGACACATAGGATGCAAGCTTTTGTTTTTACTAATATTCTAGTAAGTTAACTAGTATTAGTAGACTTGTAAGAATACTGATCATACTCCTCCCATCCTTATACTCTAACTGGTTGAGTACCATCAGGTAATATCTCTTCTTTTTAAATTATATTTTCTTCCTTCATCTTTCTACCATTACTGTCTCTCCTCTCTTCCTCATTACTTTTTACCTCCCTACAATCTAAATCTCTAACTACCAAATCTTTACCAGAGTAGATAGAATGTAAAAAATTTATCTACTAGGAATCAAATATATATTAGTTAGATAACTACTCCACACATGGTTTTTAAAAACCTGCTTACTCATAGAAGGTAATACTAGTATTACATATGATATTCAGGTAGTGACTATTCAGATCATAGACTCTATAGTATCTAGATGCCAAATAGTAATCTACAAAAACAACCTCATTGGCCTTATAGTCTTACTTCTCTTTCTGCTCTTTCAGTATCTGATAGATCACCCTACATTCCAATACCAGAAGATGACTAACATTAGGAATTCTTTCAAACCAAATTTTGTATAAGTTCTTCCCTCAATTGCTAATAATAGCGAGCAATTTCATAGGTAAATTGCAGTCTCAGATGCAAGTACCTACAACTCTGTAGGTGCCAGTATATTAACTATAGACATCATACTAAGAGAATTGTTAATCATGGTTTGGTTTTATTATTCAGTGATACTCTTCTCCTAGGGTGTATAAGGTATTATATATAAGCTCCAAATTCTTTTTGCCTTTATATAGTTTAGAAACCTTCTTGATTGATACTTACCACCTCTATCACTTCTCAATACCTGGATCCTCACACATATAGTATTCTTGGAAGTAGCCTTAAATTTAATAAAGCAAGTAAATGTCTACAATTTCAGTTTGATAAAATATCTAGCTGTATATCAGGTGAACTTATCAGTAAATAGAAGAAAATATCAATCCTGACTGAGAAAGGAGGTATCCCTCAGACTACAAATATTGATATAAATTTATTCTAAAACCTTCATCACTGTATGTCAAGGTTAGATAAAAGCTTTACATACCAAGCTTCCTAGTCCCTACCAATCATCCTCATACTTTTCTTTACCTCCCTACCTCCCATACCTCTAGTAACTTCTAACCTATTATGTGACCCATATTTACCATTAACCTCAATGAATCATAACAGATATGTCCTAAACCCTGGTACCATAGCTCTCTATCTAGATTCTCCTCTTTTCTACTCTTACTCGCTTCTAAATAAAATCTTTCCTACCTTATAGATAGATCTTTCTTTTTCACTACATTGTAGCTTCATATCGAGATGAAACATTCTGAGGCAATTCTCCATCCTTGCAGATCTCATGAGAATCCCACTCTTATAAAGGTGACATCTATTCCCAGATTTTATTGAAATCTCCAACCCATATTCCATCACTTGCCCTAGTAATAACAGGTTCCTACATCTCTTAATATATAGGATATTCTCAACCATTACCTATCTGATTCTTCCTCATGACAAACAAACAACTATCCCAATAGTACCAATTCCTTCAAACATAAGGTTCCATTTCTTAGTAACATTAACTATTTCCAGTCCCTGAGGAATATGACTGATATTCTGTAAAGAAAGTTATGGTTCTAGAAACATGGCTTGAACACCTGCCATCAATCCACCAGCTCTCATCTATCTTCTCCATATCATGGCTGGCAATGGTACCCAGATCTCCATGCGAGTGTAAACTCCAAATCACTGATGTGGACAGTCCTTCATTTCTCCGATAACCTCCTGTACTTTCATTTCTATTTGCTTCCCACGTGAGTACCATTCCCATGGTTTCAGATTCCGACAAGGTACTGCCTGGGTATTTCTCCATTCCATCCACAATGAACATCAATCCTTTTCCTGCGATCAATATCATCATGTCGCAAGCCCCTTGCTCATAGTTTATGTCGTTCAACAACTCCACAACGAGCTTCAGGTTCACACCTGATAACTCCGTACTAGATTCAGTCCATCAGCAAAAAATTTAATCTGCGTCTGATACGCCGGCCTCGCATCCCCTGCGTCCTGTGCGTCCTCACGTACATTGCAGTGTCACGCAGCGTCCTGTTCGTCCTCTATCACGACACGTCGTTTCCTTCCGTCTCCTAACCGACGCTGCCGGCGCGCAAAAGTATCATGATTCACAAATTTCTCACTAGGTGTCAACAACGTTTATCCTCCTGTTTGTGGTTAGTTTTGAGTTTTGCTTCATTTTTCCTTGGTATAGCTTACCCTCTTAAAAACATTACTCCTTCGTTGAAATTCCGTGAAATTCGGCATATGAACGAAGGGATACGCATGAGGTACCGAACGAATGATTGTCCATGATTCTCACGGCTCAAGAGTCTTTTCAAGTGTGATCCAGGCCCGTCGGACTCAGGTCTCTGCGGCCTCGGTGTTTGGTACCCGGCCAGAAAGTCTTCTGCCGGGGCACATCCACACATCGGCCAGTCAATGCTTCCCAACCGCTTCAAATATTCTGCACCTGGCTCCGCGGTTGGCTATTGCTATTGTTGCCTTGTGCATACAAAATCCCATGATACTTCTGACGATCGGGCGCACCACAGTATTGCACTATCGAAGCACAAGCCAACATAGCACCAGCCACACCAAACCTCAAAACCCGAGTGCGACATCATGACTATAACTCACTTTACTTTCACTGCACAGCGTCATTTCAATCCAGGCCTCACCCTAACATATCGGCACCCCCGGCACCCCCCAACCTGAGGAAGCAGCGAAAAACAAAAATGGTATCAAAATTCAAACCCATAGGCATACACCCTCCACCCATCCGACTATCGAATCCCCATGCTTTCCAACATTTCCACGCTTCCAACTCCGTTCCTTTTCAAACTACACAAGAGAAAAAAAAAACCCCCATTCCAAAATTCCCATTTTGTTCACACCGTGCGACAAATACAGCCCACCACAAAGGAAACGAAAAAAGGGATTGGTATCAAGCAGCGAGGGAGAGCAAGCGGAAGACCAAATGAAATGCTGGAACAAAAAAAGGGGGGGAGCATATTTATATCCCGAAGTACGAAGAGGACCGCACCGAGCCAAACCAAACCAAAAAATACTTGCACGGATCCTATTGGGGGGGAGAATTGCGTGAGGCAGGGCAGTTGAGTGTTAATTCTGAAATAAATAGAGGGGGGGGGGGGGTGATGCCAGTAAACAACCAAGCAAGGGCAGGAAGAAAACTAACCGAGATTATGCAAGGGGAAAAAAACAGGTAGTCCATTCGCACAGACAACGTAAAAACAAGAGAGGCCTGAGAGGTTACATAACAGGAGGGGATTTATGTGATATATACTGAAACATGTATGATCCGGCGGGGGTATATGTAAGGGGGTTTTCCTTTTTCCTCAAATCAAACTCGTCAAACAAGTTCAAATAACAATAGTAATATAAAAAAACGATGCGATGCCGAATAAGATATAAAAGCAAACCAGAGCCATTCCTCCCGGACCCAAAAGATAACCAGAAACGTGAAAATAGAACAAAAAAGACTTGCGCCTGCCCATAAGAGGCTAAAGGATAAAAATCAGAACATGCCGCCCAGTAAGATCGAACCAGAAGAAACCCTGAAGAAAATGGTATATAAAGAAAATTAATGCCCCCATTAAACCTGGATTTCACCGGTGGAAATAGCAACGCATTGGTTCAACAGTCTCGAGGCTTCAACTAAAAGCTCCCATCGCGCTTTCTCAAACATGTCGTGCAGCGTCAGCAGAAGCCCCAAACAAGCATTCTTATCCCGAACATTTGATAGTTCTTCTGGTGACCTAACCCCCCCTAGCCGTCGCAAAAAGGTCCTCATGTCCTGATATCGAGCCGCGGGAGTGCTGAAGTATGACCGGGAAGCTTGGGTCTGGCCTTCCAGCGCGAATCCATATGACCAAACAACGAGAGAGGCGTAATAGAGCACCCATGGTCGGTTCAAGAGGTGGTCATCTCGTGCGGAGTAGATTGGAACGCCAGTGGTCGCCACGCCCAGCTTCCGAGGTGCTCCGAGATCATCATCATCCGCTGTATAAGGCATATCTACTCGCTCCTCAGGCAGCAATACCTGACAAAGGAACTGCAGTGCATAGAACGTAGCATCCCGGGCTCGGGCACTTGGCGCCCAATCCTTTACCCGTTTTCGAACCTGCGCCGCATCACTTGGAACAACAGTACGGCCTAATAACCGCTTTGCTCCGGCAAATATCTGGAGGTCTACAATATCAACGTGCATTGACATGTGAGCTAGGTGGTGCATCACATTCCGACTTTCGAAGGTGGTTTCGTGTTCAACGTCCTCGGTGGAGGGCAAGTAATAGTTAGAACCCTCGTACGTACTCGACCCTGCCCTGATCCCATCTAGTGCGCTGTCGAAATCTTTTTTCCAGTGGTCAAAGGATCGGGTTAGGGCCTGCCGCCATTTATCCTTCCCTCCAAGCTGCGCAGCCACACCAAGAGATGTAACCTGGAGATCCCTCTGGGCCATGTGCCAACTCACACTTAACAAACCAGCCATAAGTATAGTCCGCCCGAAAGAATTGGTTCGCACGTTCTGCCCGTTCAGCGTCTTTTTCAAGCCGTCAAGGAAGGTCGTGGGCTTAACCCCGGCTTGCAGCAGGGAATGCTCAATCTTGAACACTTCGGCTCCATTGGTTGCCGCCCAAAGCGTCTCGTCACAGGGAAGCTGCAGCCGCATCTCGTGTGCTACCAAGACAGCTGAATGACCAAACATGGTAGCGTGAGTTGAATCAAGCACAAAGGCCGCAAAGGCCGCTCTTTTTGTCGCCTCGTTAACGATCCATCGACTCCATGCATCCTCCACCGGTGCGGAGCCCGATGATTGGCCGGAAAACGCTGCACTGCCGCCGTCACTGTTGGACTTGACATCACGTCCGCTTTGTGGGGAATCATAGGCACACCTTCCAGTCAACGAAGAACCCCTCCTCATCAGTGTGAGAGTGGTAGCGTGGTGTATATGAGCCCGCTCATGAAGCGCCCTAGAGGCGAACATCTTCTCGAAGGTTTCCAACAAAAGCAACGCCTGGAAGACCCATAATTTCGCTGGAGGTCGGAAATCCACATCCGAAAATATCTGCGATCGAAGATTCCAGGCTAGAATAACAGACAGTGCTGTTGCTGCTTGGGCGACAGTCGGATCCACCTTGGTGCCGATTAGGGATGCACCGATGGCCATCATTGTGAGGAGGAGAATGCTGGGGGTTTTGTCGGCCGAAAACGTTGGCCTGTGAAGTATAGGGAGCTGTGGATGGAAGTGAAGCCAATAGCTAGAAATGTAAGACTGCATCATATGTAGACTCAAAGCATGTGAGTCATCTTCGGCGGAATTGAGCGCTAGAGAACCCGTACGCTGGGGAAGATCGGACATCTCGGGATAGTTCTCAATAAGATCCATCAAGTCCTGTCGCTTATGCTCCGACAAAAGGGACTCTTGAGGGGGGCTTGGGGGGGCTATCAGACTCGTAACCGCCATAGGATGCTGTGGCTGTAGCGGGTGGGGGTAATAGTTGTGAGTTTGGTACTCTTGGCTGCCCATATAGATGTTCTGCGACCCCATCGCGAGACTATCAATATAGCTACCGCTAATGGAAGAAGTTCTACCCCCACCGGGCAGTTGCGTGTCCTCGAAAAACCAAGCAGCAAAATCGCTCGCCATCCAATTCGGAGACCGAGTATAGCCGTCATTACCAAAAACAGGCACCGTAAACGGGAAACCCGTAGGGTCAAAATCCACATCTGTCGTAGTAACGCCGCCAATAGGATTCGATGCACCTACCGAAGATGAGCTCGTGGGGGGTGACGTGATGTACTGGCCCTGGCCCTGGTTGGGGGCGTTGCTCTGGCTAAGATTTGGATAGGCCGGCTGTGGTAGGGAAAAGGAGCCAAAAGAGGTTTGAGGAATGTATGCAGGGCCCGCACTTGTGCCAGTAGTTGCCGCCATAGATGATCCAGCGGTTGTTGCGCTAGTGGGATGTGCAGAAAAATGGCCCCCAGAGGACACACTGGACGCTGATAATGGCTGCATGCTCATTCCACTGATGGTTTGGCTAGGCCCCACAGAGGTTTGGAGTGGTGGACGAGCGAAATCGGATTTGCCGCTGGGCAATCCTGGACGTTGCTGACCACCACCATATAAAGTATTGACATCAACGGGAGATGCTTCAGATTTCGATCTCACATGTTCTATACTATATCTCCTCGCCGCCTGCGCGTGCATTTCCGTCATCCCATTCGCCGCTCGCTGGGCAGTTCCAGAATCGGTGGTCGTTCTTCGAATTTTGGCCCGATTATCAACATTCGGCGTGGTAGCACTCGAGGAATTAGGTAAGGTAGCGGACGACAGGCTGGTATCAGGGGATGCAGTCATATTCACAGAAACTCCATTAGGTGTCATAATAGGGGATTCGTCCTCTCCACCCTTCATCATGAGATCCGGGCCATTTGGTGATTCCGGAGAAGAAGAGCCCTTACTCATGGAACTCTTTCTGTCCGAGAGAATGCTCCTAGCGGCTGCTCCCGCAGGATTATTTAGAAGGCTATCCTTTCTCTGGAGCTGAGAGCCCGGCCGATTCGTATGGCGATCCCGGTGCCGCATGCACAGGTCTTGACGGACAAACGATCGTTTGCAGTCGGGGAAATCGCAAAAATATATCTGCTTTGGTTGATCTATAGCCCATCAACAGTCAGCACTGTCGGCTGCTCAAATTAATGGCTCTGGCGCTGCTTTGGTTGCTCCAAAGGGCGGAAAATGAACATTCCCTTTATCAAAGATTCCCCAATATGAGGTTAATAAACAAAGGGAAGGGACTGATAGCTCATCGACAGCCGCCCTTTAAGAAGGCTCGGGAGATCTTAAGGGAAACCTTACGATTCAGCTGGTGCCTGTACAAGTGCTCCGCCCTAGAATAGCTTCTACCGCATCCTTCCTCCGGGCACTCGAACTTCTTGTCCAGCCCTTTCCTACTCCTCCTCCTTTTCCTCGAAGGGGGGTCTGAGCTGCTGGTCAGCGGACCACCGATAACCTGACCCCCACCCCCATCCACCATTCCGTCTCTATTTCTTTCTCTGCCCCGGGCCTTCTCCTCCATCTCCTGGGGCTGCTGGTAGGATCCGACCGCTTGATGGTGTCCGGCGGTAGACATACGACTTGCAAAGAATACCTCTCTGTGCTGGTCTAATCGAAAATCACTTGAATCGCTGGATAATCGACGATAGTTTGTAACTTGTTTCTGGGTACGTTCAAAATGTGTTGATCCGGTGGGTAGTTGGTGCTAGATGAGAACCATGATGCGGCCGATGCGAATCAACATGAGCTCCAGTGCTCACGAAAAATCAGAAACCCCGATGTAGATATATTTCTTATTTTTGTCTTTCAGACCAGCTTTGCCCTAGATATTTTTATCGATAGACGATCCGCAATTGCAATTGAACAAGGGAGGGGGGAGCCGGAGTGGAGGTAAGGGTCGGAACCCCGTTGGACTGTTATAATCCGTGAGCCTTGGGGGAGTGACTACCCGTGAACGCACTATGGAGGAGACCAGCGAGATGCGATGTTCAAATGAATGCACGAGTAACAGTTTTTCAACAAGGCTGCGCCAAATAGCGAACGGTAAGTCTGCGGGTCCTTTCTTTGGTCCTGTTCCTCCTCTCCTCTTCTCCCTCTCTGCGCTATCCTGCAGGTTGGGGAGAGTCGTGGGGCACTTGGGCGAATGGGATAGCTTACAGGGTTTGACGACTAAGCAAAGCACTAATAATCCAAAATATGATGTTGGAAGCGAGGATCGGACAAATATTTGATCGGTGGATGTGGTGCCGAGAACGGCCAGTGGGGCATAAAGGGTGCGGAGAGGATGGGTGTAAGGGTGGAAAGTCGGTATGGACAAAATGTTGGTATGGGTGGATGAGTTGGATGGATGGATGTGGATGACCGGGCGTCGTGATTGACTGCTCTTTCCCGAGACCTGGAAAGGAGGTGAACGAAAGAATACACCGTAGGGTAAGAGTGGATCGATGGTGGAGGCGACGACACGGGACCGTGGAGTATCGTGTCTCCCGTAAATTCAACGAGGCGGGGCGAAGGAAAAGCGGAGCAAATCCAATTGCAGAGGATAGCAGCGACGGAGGAGGGTTTTGATGTTGGTCTAGCAAATGAGACCCGGGGGTGAAATGCAACCTTTCCTAGTCTGATCCTATCCAATTTTTTTTTTTCACCGTCTTCGGTTGTTTTTTTTTTCCCACCTCCTCCAACCGTGGCCCGCCTGTCTCTCTGCTCTTTGTTTTTTTTTTCCCTTCTGGTGGGACAAAAAACACTGGGCCCGCACTCGGCACCGGTAAGCGTATGTCGGTTTGATGCGCAGTTGGATTTATGCAGGCGTGTGAGCCCGTGAGTGTGATACTGTGTATGAGAATAAAAAGCGAGAGAGATACAGTGACAAACAGGAAACTAAGTTTGAAACTTTCTGGTATCGAAAGATGGCACCGTGCTGGGGAAGAAGAATGAGAGGAGTGGGGAAAGGTCAAGTGGATGGAATGGAGGGGTGCTTGGTTGGTTGGATGAGTTGATGGATGAATGGTGGAGGGAGCGGAAGAAAGACGTGCAAGTACCGGTATGGCACTGTACGCACGAGAAGAGGCCCAGCAGCCTTCACTCTTGCTGCTGACTGCGCCCTAACCCAGATCTTCTTCCCTTAAATTCTCCTGGCTAATACGGTAGAGATTGCTTCTTGCAGCAGCCAAGCGTGTTAGATGATGGGAAGGGAAGAGAAAAAAAAAAAGAAGGATGAAAAAAAACCCAGATCAGCGGAGAACGGAGGGTCCCAAAAATTTATTAACTAATGCTAAACCTGTGAATGTGAAGGGCTCTCACCCCTAGTCCCGTGCATCAAAGTCTCATTCAGTTGAACCAGCCACAGAAACGTTTCTGTTCGCTGACCAGTATAATTCGATCACTTCCTGTGGTCGGCCATAGGACGGTTGTGGGGAAGGGGGGGGGGGGGGGGGGGCGGGGAGTGAGTGTGATGGAGGGGGGGAATTATTTGTGAGGAGGGGCGAAAAAACTGATGGATGAGGTTGATGACCAACAAGAGTCCACTTTCTCCCTCCTCACAGACGTCGCTCTTTAAACAGAGACTATTTCCGATTCCCACATCCCTCTTCCTTGTATGCATATGGGTACGAAAATCATCATATCGCCGAGTACCGTACATACCATGTCTATCTATGAAGCTTTCAGCTACAAAGCTTTTCACCAACAATGACTAAGGCTCAAAGTGTGAGAAACTGTACCTCCCCTCACCTAATTGCACGGAGTAAGGCGGCCCAAGAACTTACCCGTTCGCCAAAAGGACTCCTCTCCCGCCGTACCCGTACATGCTACTTGTACTCTACATGCCCAATGGATATCCGACAGGATTCGTGGGCTTGAGGCCGGACTGGGACCTATTTCCCTTCCTTGCCTCCGACAGTCGACGAAAGGGAAAAGGCGAGGAGAGGAGCTTATGGCAGAGGTGGGCGAGGGCGGGGGTGAGAGTGAGAAGAGGCAAAAAGGGAAAGGGATCGTACAGAATACCGTAGACAACGAGCGATTCGCGATTCCCACCAATTGGGCTTTAACCTTTCTTCCACAAAATACTGTAAAGCTTTATATCTGATTTGTCTGGGGACGGGACCCGCCCACCCGCGAGAGCTCGACTGGAAGATCGGTCACTGCCGTACTGGAGAGCACAGAACCTTGGAAAGCGATTCGGCAATAAATGCATTGCAGTAGTCCATCTAAAGCGGCCCAGAAATCCACTGCATCCGCCCCCGGAAAAGGGGAGGATATCACAACAAATATTAGGATAGTGCAGATCTATCACGAGCTACTGTAGAGGGTTGATGCCAGTAGCCTTGCAGGCAGTCAACACCAGTTCAAAGATGGTGACTTTTCCTTTCCTTTCCCTTTTTTTTCTTTTTTTTCTTCGCTTTCATTCTTGTCAAGTTAGGTTGCCTCGATCATAGCGATACAGAGTGACAGAGGATGAAGCCAGGCGGTCGAGCATGACAATACTGGTATTACTAAGGCAGTACGAGTAGGGCATGAGATGTCAAAAAATAGATCTGCCGTTGGCTGCAGCACTCGTACTTGGGCCCTTCTCCACGTTGCAGCGCTCTCTCCCTCCATCTGTAACAGCTCGCCAGCCATAGGACAAGCCCGGCACACTCGCGGGCAAAAGCGACAGTAACAGTAGCAATGTGCATGGACACTTGCGGCAGCAGCAAATGAGAGATGATCAAGAATGAATAAGAGTATTGTCAAACCGCGTTACCGGGGGTAAAAAAAGGGAGAGGGAACAAGGAAAGAGAGGTGACCACGCGCCTCCGTGCTCCCTGTACTCGAGTAGCCTCCCTCATGTGCCTGAGCAGCCCCATTGGGAGGAAAAGCTGGAGAGCTGGGCAAATACCACGCACGCCAATGCAAAAGAACCCGGAGAATTGGTATTCCCATTTGTCTTTCATCTCGTAAAGGCGGGGTAGCGAGTAGCGCTTTTTCCGCGCTCTTAAAAAAGTTTTCTCTTGTGCATCCTCTCACCCACTCAAATCATAAATCTCTGCCCTGTGGCACCCGCACAATTCTGTGGTTCTAACCATTCCCCCGTCGTCATTCCACCCCCTATCTGCTCGTGTACCGATACTCGAGTACTCGTACAGTACCGTACTTGTACTAGTACTCTATCGTACCCCAGACATAACCTACCTCTACCGGACCCCAGTACCGGTATGCAACCTTCCTACCCCTTCCCTTCGGTACGAATATCGTACTTGTAACAATTTGGGACGGTGCAGCAGCCACCTTGATGTACGAGTACTCTTTTTCTCCCTAATCTCATCGTGGGATCGGGACACGATTTCTCCCTAAAATTTTTATTGATATGTCACCACCAAAGCCACATACCGCGCTTTCTGATTAATCCTTCGTAACCTCTGAATCCAATCTCTCCTTTTACTGGTGCTGAATTCCCTTTCCCACCAACCCCTTGTCGAGAGTCCCGAGTTCCCGGGCACAGCCTATTAGCCAGGCTCGATCCAGTGCATTTCCTTCAAACTGACGCGCATGAAGGAAGGAAAAAAAAAATTTGTAAAAAAGAGGAGAGAAAAAACTGTTGAGGAGATTGATGCTGGTGCGGTAATCCCTCTAACTCAATCCTCTCCTCGTCCGTGGAAATGGTACCGTATGATACGTTAGATGTAAAAGAGGGAGGGAAGATCAGTGGCAAACCATCGGAAGTCGACCTTTTTTCTTTCTTTTTTCTCTCCTCTCCCTTTGTCCCCTCTCTCCCCTCTTTCTATCTATATTATCCCCTTTCACGATATCAGAGCATCGGTTAGTCTACGAATTCATTCGCTACGGAAAAATCCTCACGAGGTAGATGGGCCGAGGGAGAGAAGATGCGGAAGAGGAAAAATAGGTCTACCAGTCCTCATTGTCCTGCTCTCTTCCCGAGTCAATCAATCAATCAATCAATCAATCAATCAATCAATTGGTGCACCGTGCTCGAGTACAGTACTAGTGCTCCGTTTCGGGAGATGTTGTCTTGGTTGACGCCTGGACAGAGCCTGACGAGATATCATAGGATACTGTAGGGGCCGCATGTCTCACCGCAGGCACGCGGTAGCAACTCGTGTGCTAGAACAGAGAACCGGTAGGTACAGTCGCACCTCTCTGTAACGAATGCCAAGAATTCAGGAATTTTCGTTTCGATAGCGAGGTTTTGAACGGAATCCCTTATAACGGGAGCTGTTTGTATGGGAGCAGGGGGTAGCTTCACAGAGCACCCGTTCGTAATAGCGAGGTGCGACTGTAGTCGATTACTGCGCCGTCAGTAAGTTGTGATGAGGTTAAATAATGTAGAAACGCCGGTTCCGGATCTTCGCACATTTCAATCATTGAGTTTGCCGCTTACTCGAGCATGCCTTCCTTTCGCTCCCGGGAACCATCATCTTCAGCAAATAATTAGAGGAAGAAGGGACAGCCTCCGGTGTTTTTTTTATACTTACTCCCTTATTACCGGCATGCCGACCTCCTCTTCCCCGTACCCATAACAGAGCCTTTTCACATTTGTGGGAGCTAGATCTTTAGTTATGCAAGAAATAAAAATCATCA